ATAATGATGCCTCTTCATGGGATTTTCCATTCCTTCCTTCCTTCCAGAACACACACATCTTCCACCATTTCCACCAGACACAGAGCTCATTTTTCTCCTCCCCTAAACAAAGGAGCTGTAGCTACAAGATTGGTTTAAATAACAAAATCTGTGCTTAGAGAGAGGGGCATTTTAGATACGGGAGTTTTGATGGATCCTGATCTACTTATTTCTTTCTGTGTACTTATATATGTGTGTGACTTTTAGACAAACACAAGTTCCAGGAAGGAATCATTCATGTACTTTTAGTAAACTACAATTCAGGTGTCTAATCAGAGCTGGGTGACCAGCCTTTCTCTGTGAGCAATGAAAAATGAGCACTTACAGAAGGCAATTCATGCTATTTTTCATAAGGTGGGATGAATCACCTTACGAATATTCCCGTTTTCCCTCACAACAGCAGAGGAAGCCTAGATGACCAGCTTAGGCTGGACCCCTGAAGAAAGCACTGTAACACCCCTCATAAGTATATAGTCTAAGAAAGTCACCTCATCCCTCTCTTTAACAGTAAAAATGGATGGCCTCCTCCTTCACCTCATATCTTAGACACCTATTTTATGGTCAGAGCACTTGTCTCCTGGAGACGTCTTTCTCCCTCTCTGCAAGACTAGAGAAGTAGTCTAGAAAGCGAGGTTAGATTAAACTTGCCTCTGATATCAACCTTGGACCTAAATGTTGGTTGACTAACAGCAAGAGACAAGCACCTCTCATTGCTCCAGAAGGATCTCCGACCTGCCTGCACATAGGTACCTGAATTAGGAGAAAAGGCTCCTTCTGGAAGCCTTCAAGTTGCTTGTCTCCATTGCCTGTACCATAAATTAGGCCCTTGCTTTGGGAAGGCTGATTTCTTAAGTACGTAAAATATAGGTGCGAATGAGAGGCCAAAGTCAGGCAGACTGGAAGCAACTGTGGTTGGCAGTGCACTCAAAATACATGGGATGGTATTCTGGGGACAGATCCCTATTCTAGCTGCTATTTATCATCCATTTTCTCGCGAAGTCCCATACTGCAGTAATCTTGTCATAGTTTGATGAAGCTGACGAAGCACATCATTTCCCTAACTGCAGATAATGTATATCAACTCCTCTCTATGCTCTATACCTGAAGGAATAAACAGTAAGGGCAAGTACTCAACCCCATACCTGTCATAAAGCAGGCTCAAATATTCACCCAAAAAAGAATACACTTTAAAGAGGATTTTATGAAGAGAACCTAGCAGTCCCCCAATATATTTAATATCATATATAATATTGTTCCTGAGGTTGTTAGCGATACCCCCACAGCCTCTGAGGTTATTGCAGTATGTCCTACCGTGGGACGAGCCTTGGGCATTCACCCATATTCACACATCCCCATCCCTCCCCTGCACCTCACTTTCCTCCCTTCATGGGCACAGTGAAGTGGAACAGATGTCAGCAACATTTCACACCTGCTGTTCCTAACACACCTAATCACAGAATCACAGAATGGTCAGGGTTGGAAGGGACCTCTGGAGATCATCTAGTCCCACCCCCCCGCCAGAGCAGGGTCATCTACAGCAGGTTGCACAGGATGACGTCCAGGCAGGTTTTGAATGTCTCCAGAGTGGGAGACTCCACCACCTCTCTGGGCAGCCTGTGCCAGTGCTCCACTACCCTCAAAGTAAAGAAGTTCCTCCTCATGTTAAGATGGAACTTCCTATGTTCAAGTTTGTGCCCATTACCTCTTGTCCTATCACTGGGCACCGCTAATCCTTTTCGGATTTCCAGATTTCAGCCCTTTTCACTCAAAAGGACTAAGAGTGAGTTTCATGGTTCTCTGGTTGGGAGAGAGATGAACACTGAGTTCTGGCTTAGGCTCAAGTGCTGTGCAGCTCCTGACCAGCACTGGTTAACCTGTTTCTAACAGCACAGTGCTCAGTACAGTGCTGAGCTCTGGACCAGGACTGGACTAACCCAACCTCAAAAGGGCTATGCTCATGTATTTAGAAGATAATTCGCATGGAACAGGAACTTTTCTGGACAAGAACCAGAATGATCAGCACATTGCAAGATTAACCATTTTCTGAGAAACTAAGGATGTCTCAAAGTGTGCTCTTATTACCAAATTTGTTTCATAAATAATAAATAACTTTAGAGTTGTTTGAGTCAAACAAACCTGGTTATCATCTTTTCACTACAGTGCAATAAAAACAACATTTTTTTTCTCTGCTATGACTAATTCTCATCAAATAGCTCCTCAAGACGGGCAATAACTCTAGTTCTATTATGCTTTTTGTCTGTATTCTGTTTTTTTTTGAGGAGGGGGTAATTGATCTTATTTGGTTTTGAACATCTTGCTTTTATTCTTTTGAGACACTACTTGCTATTCTACCATCAGATACCAGCTCCAACATACAGTGGAATCAATGGCAGAACATGAGGTTAACGATAACTAGCCTGTGGCAAAGAACAGACAAAGTAAATACTCTGAAAGATATTCTTTTTCTGCATGTTTATACGGATGCACATAGCACCTTCATGAATAGATCATCTTCTCATTGACAATTCTAGTGACCCATCAGTGCCTTCGGCTGGAATGGCATTAGAGTTTAACCCTAGCGTGCACTGATTGAAATGGCCTTTATATTATACTTAACATAAAGAGATCTCCTTTATTCTTCAAGAAAAACTGCCATTTCTTGCTTTGATTTCTATAATATTACAAAGATAAAAATCACATAAAGCTTAAAATACTATCTCAAAGAAGATTCTAACAGGAGAGGATTCTAGATGTGTTGCATTAATAAACATACACACTCTGTGAACTATAATGATTTTGTATTATTAAGGGCATGATCCTACAAAATAGTGAGTCTCTTGCAACTTGAGTCCTTGACTTTCATTGACTTCTAAAAGGACTAGGCTTTCCACTGCAAATATCCTCTAAAAAGCAAGTCTTTAGAAATTCCACCCCATAGCCCTGATTTTATTGTCTCACAAAGACACATTTGCTCAGTTTACAGGTGAATATTTATTTTTCTCACCTGACAGTTTTGCAAACTCAACCAGACATCAAGCTGGATTTTTCCCTACTCAAGCATCATCATCAGTAATAAAGGTATTTTTGCATTGGATACACCTGTGCAACTCCATTAGCCTTCATCAAGGTTACATGTGTGCTACTGAGGTTATATATGGAAGACAACTGGGATGGAGAGACCTGACTGTGGACGCAAATCGACCTCTGGAATATTTATTGCTGATGATGATGTGAAAGAAGGCAAAAAGTGGTGAGGTTGGCAAATGGGCTAAATCTTTCACTATTTTTTTCTTGTAATGCATGTGAGCCTTATGAGCAGCTGAAAGACGGTAAGTGCTCAAATCTAGGGTTTTGCTTTCATTGTGTCTTTTCAGAGCATTTTAAAAGGTTTTTTTTGTTGTTGTTGTTTTAAATGAGTTCATATCAGAGCAGTGTTCAATCTAAAGCATATCTCAATTTGATAACTAAATAATAAAGCAGCAACATTCCTCAGTGTGCTTCTAGAAATAGATGCTGCCTGGTGACTTCTGCACACAAACAGATGTCTTCACAGCAAAATCCAAATGACAGTCTTTGGCCAGTCAGTTATTGGATTTCTGTAAGTTGATTCTAAGATTTTCGTAAAAAGCATATACTGTAGCCTTAACAATTAAATGATAATGAGCAGACAGAAGAGAAAGGACAGGAGAGATCTGGCATAGCTACAGCTAGCAATCATTAGATTTACAGAGGGGAAAAGACATGCTTCCTAGGCCAACATATTTTTTATGAATAATTGATAAGGCAGTCAGCACAGTTATATCATAGAAATGTAATATATATCCATAATTATAAAACCAGCTTTGTGCAAAAGGACATAATACACTGAAAGGAGATACCAGCCAATATGCCATCCTGAAATAAAATACAGTCACTATTGTGTTAGTTGGCAAAATTTAAATACAGGATTTGAAGCAAGCAAAATGTTCTTTAATCCCATTTTTTAGCACAGTCCAGGCTCAGTCTGCTCAGGAAAATACTGCAAGGCAAAATCAGCAGCTGCATTAATTTGCTGATGATTGAGAGAAAAATGAAAGTTATCCTCATGGTTTTTTTCCTCCCTACTTGCTACTCTAACTTACTAATAATACGAGAGTACCAATTTATTCCTATGCGAGTATATGAAGCATACAAATTGAAAAATCAATGTAATGGAAAAAAAAGATTATCATGCACTGTTTAGAATCAATCAGCTAGAAACAGAGGGGGGAAAATGTGAAGGCGGAGACATGATGTTTAGAAAATGTACATAGTGTACCTACCCTGAGCTAGAGTGTTTGTAGGAAAAAACTACCCTTAGTCTAACGTGCAGACTGAGCTATATTTTGACCAGAAAATTGTCTTATTTCCAATCTTTTCTAGAGAAATTAATCATTTGTCTTTTCTTCTTTTAGAAGTCCCCAAATCACAAACGTAGCAATCCCTTTGCCCATAAAAGCCACACAAAAGCATGTAACAAAGATTCCAGGGTGAAGGGATTACGATACTCAAAATGCTTTATTAGCATGACGTCTGAGCATCGTTCACCAGAACGCTGATGGCTTATTGTAGCCTGAAGGACAGACTTTTGTCGTATGTGAGAGAGTCCCTTGAACACATCGACAGCAATAGTTTTTAGTTGTGGTCTGAATCACCATTAGCAGTTGAGTTTAAATCTTAGATCTCTCAGTGGTGGAACACTTTCTTCGGCCAAAACCGGCCTCTACTGATCAGAAATAATTACACTATAAGAGTCAGATGTGTAACAAATGGGTCTGAGTCTCAGTTTGGAAATACATTCAGAGGAGGTGGAAAGAATGGCTACTGGCTCTGTGACAGGAGATTCAATCTTCATAAACCTGCAAGAGAGGGGAGGAAAAAAAAGCGACACAAATGCGCCCTACAAAAGAACAGAGCAGATCACAGCTGGAAGGAAGGCAAACCTTTTAATCAGGTCCTTGAAATACAAGCTGCAGGAAGCTAGAACATTTTGGTGGACTTCAAACTCTTTGCCTTCAACAATAATTTTCAGGTCTGTAAACTCTTTCGCTCTGCGTTGCTGGTTCAACTCCTTCAACATTTCTGCAGAACAGAGAAGACAGACAGTGCCAGGGTTCCCATTAAGAGTTTTTTATTTTTACTTTTTACTTTTCATTTTTTTTTTGTAAAGAAGTAGAGAAACAGGAAACAACTGATATTTTTGTCGGTAAGATTGGCTCAACACAGACAGTCAGAAGTTACGAACAAAACATACTAAAAAAAGAAAAAGCAGGAACCAGTAGGTCTAAACAACTGAAATATATATATATACAGAAAAAAAGCAAAAACGATCCTAAATTTGGAAGGGTTAAAAATGAAAACAAAATATTTCAGCATTAGCAAATCAGAAACACAGAGAATGCATTATCACAGAAAAGTTAAAATAATTTGTTATAATAAAAATCAAGAGCTAATGAATTTCTATCCAAATGCAAATAAGTTTTGAACGTACTAGAATAATATTAGTAAAAATATGGCATTATGATGCAATATGAACTGGATATGGGTCAAAATAATAAAACCACAAAACCTGCAAAAATAACTTATCCTTAACATAGTAAAAATGTGTTAAGCCTCTCAGTCAACAGAATAAAACAGTACTTCTAAATAATATATAAATTACAGTGCATAAGAACTTAGCCAAATTATCAATGCATCTTGCAGTATACCTCAGCTATACAGACTACAATTGTATATGTTTCAGAATTAGCTTAAAAGCATCCTTATGATAAAAAATAATCTCACGCAGAGTATAAATTACTGCCTTTTATAGCAATTCCCATTTTTTGCACTCCAAGGATTTTTACCATCACAGCATTTTTATTTTTTAGCCTTCAATGGCTTCATTTACAGCAACAATCAACTTTCACACATCATGAAAGAATCATAATGATTAAAATAACCTATGAAAGTGTTTCCATCCTGCAATAAAGCACCTACCTTGCGTGATGCCTCCTTTTATAAAGCCTGTTGGTACTAACAGAATGAAATAATAGCATGCCATGTCTTCATGTGTGGATGTGAACTACTAAGCAACCTACATGTTTTATATGCTGGCTGGACTTTTACGGGTAAGACTTCCCTCCAACTTTGCAGACCAAAGTGGCTATCAAGATGAATAATATACTTTTCACCTGGGTAATAGTCTGGCAGTTCAGAAGCCAGTGATCAAGATGATAAAAGAGCCAGTTTTAAATACTAAAGGATTTTGGTTTTATTTTATGTTTGCAATAGGTCAAGGTTCTCATTTTCTCAGTGTAACACGCCGAACACATTCCTCTTCAGACAGATCTGTAAATCAACAACAGTTCTTTACATGGAGCCCCTCGTTACACAAAGTAAAAAGGACCTGAGGAGTGTGTAACTATAACTGCATTTAACGCCACTGTCGGGCCTGGGCACTGGGCTGCCAAAGCATCACCAAAGGCCGTTACGGTGCAATGAAGGCCCAAATAATCTTTGTGTTCTCCTGCTTCCCCAACAAAACTCAACAGGAATCATTTCAGTGAAGCACTAGCAGTTAAACAACACGAAAGCGTGCAAATATACAACTGTTGCATGAAAAGAAACTGAAGTTCTCCCAAGCCCCAACATCTGTGGTTCACATTTTTCAGGCCTAAGTAAATAAATGTCACCTTGCACATTTATGTCTATTTAATGGAAACACAGTAGTGTCTGAAAGGCTAATTATTCTGTGCTGAAATGGGTCAGTGCTCTCCAGAGAGCAAGCAGATCATTAGAGAGGGCACAGAAATAACAGCAGGCTTGTGTCAGATCTATAATAGGGGAAAATAAACCACTCTGTCCTGTGGGTGCTATAGCAGGGACTATTTTTAACAAATTCATCTGAGCTAAAGTACAATGATACATTTTGAGCAAAACTTAAAATGGAATCCCAGTGTTCATTCTTCTGCAGGAAAGTTTCAGGCTTTTGCTGGCGGTGTGGTGCCTAAAGTCTGACTTGATCATGAATGCTTCAGGCCTCAGTTAAAGACCAAGGATGCTTTGGACACAAGGGATGTTCTACCTGATTTTGGGTCAAAGGGATTAAGGCCTCTGGTTTCACAGGAACAGCACCAGCTGCTTTCTTAGTTGCATATTTTTGGAGGCGACTGTAGAGGAAGTATTCCTCTGTCCCTTTTCACATAGGAACAACTGTGTTTTTTTCTGTTTTGGTCCGTTTTCCCACTTTCACTTACAGCAACCACATTTTCCTCCTGACCCATTTTCTATCATTTCATGCCTTAAAGACAGCTACTTTTTCCTCTGAACTTTCTGATATTCTTTTATCCCCTACTTACTTAATTTCACTTTTGTTTTCTGTCATTCCCCTTTTCAAATTTGTTCAACTACTGTCCTCCATCCCCATGTGCACTTTTCTTAAGTTCCTATTCAAGATCCTTTTCTCTAGCATCTGGGGGGAGCCCTTTGCAATCTTCCTTGCAGAAGCCTTTCAAGACAAGGGCTCCGACCAAGATTAAGTCATACAAGCTTAAGATCATACTTACACAAGGGGTCAATCTCCATCCCATCTCATTCCATTTCCTCCTTTTAAAGCTCATGATCGATTATTCTCAGTGTTCAAAGAACAAAATTGTATGAATAGCATAGATGGATCATAGAATAGTTTGGATTGGAAGGGACCTTTAAAGGTCCTGTGCTCCAGGAGAGGAGAGGAAACAGAGTGTCGTTACACTCTGAAAGGGCTGGGGGTTTTGGAAGGTGGGCTCAGGATAAGCAGGATAGTAGACACCATCCATGAACTCATGATTATGGCTGAGATTGCCGAATAACAAGACACAAAGTTCAGCCACTGCGGTGATGCTCTCTGTGCTATCTCCAATATCGTAAGAGCTGGTTTGAGAATCCAAGTCCCCAAATGGCTCCCCCAGGTAATGGGCTGATTACTTGGACTTTACTGAGCACCCTTTAATTACATCCAGTCCTGTAGTTCCTGGGCATAGCCTCTATCTATGCTCTTTACACACTTCATTGTGCTTTATACTGCATGCATTCATTAAGGGATGCAAACCAGAAAACACCGGTCTGGAGCAGTGGTGCAATTTGGCTGATAAAAAAGCAGAAATCAGAACAAGCCCTAATCAGAAACCGAAGCTCCTCTTTTTCCTATAGCCACCCGGAGGCCATAATTCCCTCTTTGTCCCTCTTACTTGTTACAGTGCCCTCCACAGAGAGATGACTGCGAACAGTCCTGTATTTTTTGTAGCTCAGTTTCTGAACTAGAAAGAGAAGAGGCAGGTGGAGAGGAGAAGGAAGTCAGGAGACTGCATTGATTCATCGATCTTCCTCGCTGAGGCCCCTTTGTATTACTAAATAACTAGCAGGCATTAGTATTGGACACAAGGTTATATCAGAACGGGCCCTCATTCTCAGAGTATTTGTAATGCTCACACTGTGCTTAGCCAGGCATTAATGATTTATGAGGACTCAGGATGAGTTGCAAAACAAATTTTTTCACCAGGTAATAATGCCTGCCGATGAGTTGTAAAAGGAGAGACAACACAGTGCAGTCCTGGCAGTGAAAAATGATCTCAGCTGTCTCCTGCTAGTCCCTCTTCTGGGCTCCTCCTAATTTTCAGCATTTCCTCCAACAAGCGGAATTTCCTGAAACCTTCAGAAAGGGATGTGCTGGGAATTTCCTAGTGGTTATTATTCCTCCATTTTCTTTGTTCTTACAGAGGGTTTGCTCTTTGTTTGCTTTTTTTTCTCATTTATTTTTTTTTTTTAAAGAGATCCAGGTAAAAATGAAGTGCAAGGACAGCTAAGGTGCAAGGTTTCAGCAGGGTGGGCACTGATGTTCCCTCTCCTCAGTGAATCGCGGCAAATGCTCTTGCATCCATAGTGCAAGGGATTTTCCTTCCTGCCCCAGGTGCCCACATGCATTGGGATTGCAGAAACCAAGCCAGTCCTTTCTGTTTGCTTCATCATTACTGATGCTAAATCATTCTCGGTCAAAGACTGGTTTAACACTTTCTTCATAAAGAAGCCCACGATAGACACCCCCATGTTCTTCCATAATTACATGAGCCATGTAGCGGTTGAACCTAAAGGGGACTTGACCTGAAACCTGCAACTGAACATCTCTATGGAGCTTGCGAGAGGAAGCACTTTCTATCTTGACATTATCAGCCTTCATATCATTGCCTGGGGGCATTTAAACATAATTATATCGAGAGTCCCAGAGACAATATGGGCCAGAGGTGTAAGTGACTTTCCTCAGGTCAGGAACAGAGCCAGAAGCTTTGATTCCTGGTCCCCAGCTCCACCCATCACACTACATTTTCTCCCTCTTAATTAATGGGCAAATTACAAATTAAACTGAAGAGCCCATAAGCCTTGGATCAAATGTAGGACCAAGAACAATGGTGTAATTTTGTAGATGAAGTAAAGGGAACCAAAATCATATAGTGAATCTTTTTTTTAAATTACTTATGATCAGAAATAAAAAATGAACAAGGAACTTATTCCCCAAGTTTATTTATTCTGTATTTCAAGCACAGTGGAGACTGGATACCCAGTCAAAGTTCCTCTCTAATGCACATTCCTGTGGCACAATGGAAGCTCTCAGGTTTCTTTCTGCTTTTAATGAAGAACTCTTTACTTAAATTCTAGTAGATAAGGATTTAAAAGGGGTCAGCAAGAGCTAAAATATAATGAGCTGTGAAATATGGAAGAACAGTTTTCACAAACGGCGTGTTTTAAAATTTGCTTGGAAAAACTAACCTATTATGAAACTGCAAAGGGTAATTGATGAAACATCACTAATTATCTTGTGAAGAACATGCAAGAGACCAGTGCTTGCCCAAACAGCCTCATGCTTTCATGATTGGGACAGAAAATGTGGGAAAGCCAAGAAAAGTTACTAGAAGGAAAATCCAATTACTTTCTTGCCTTAATAACTAGGGAGATTAATTCCCAAGGTTATGCTCCAGTTATGTAAAACAAACATTTTAACCATTAAGTGCCAGCACTGCCCACATTTTCTCATTTTGATAGACAGCGGTAGCTACAAGAAATTAA